GGACGGTGTAGATAATATGTTGTAAAATGCACCATTTATGATACTTAAATCTTTTTATTTTTCATGGTCATACATCTCGATGTCGAGATGATTAATACAAGGGTTTTTCAACATTAAAACTATCTTTTTCGATGGATTTTTGAAGTGCATCCGTAGTTCTACATTATAAGATTGCATCCTGATATAAACTTTTTCCTACTTGATTATGTCTTCTTTATTTTTAACACTATTTTACTACATGAATATTTTCTCCTCTTAAATATATTCAATATTATTGTCTAAATATTTGTTATCTAAAAAATAACGTGAGATATAGATTGAATACTATTGTATTGTTTTTTTTCTTCTCAATAATATATTATTGATGATCAAATAAGTACCCTTTCATCATATCATAATATAGTATCCATATTTTGGAAAATTAATTATCATAATTTTATTTATATATTTATTTATTGGCAAGCATTATCAGCAATAAATTGCATAGAGGTATAACGAAAGTATGTCACTGCTAAGATCTTTTTTTACTCTCTATCTCCATGTTCCTTTCATTTTGATAAGGGCACGTTTTGTGTAGAGCCGAGGCTCCAAACATCAAATTAGAGGTCACCTTCAAATAGTGTCGAAAAATGTGGTTTAAATATTAGAAATCTTTGACTAGCCTTAAAATATATTTGTATCTTTAATTATAAAATTGGAAGCTTAAAAAATAATGTAGATTGAGTAGATCTATGAAAACTTTAATAACTTTAAAATTAACGGTTAAAACATGCGTTACAAGATGCACAATTTCCAAAACTTGAAATCCATTTTTTTCTTAAATCCATGCATCTTGATGTGAGATGATCAATTTGAGGATATTTTGACATCAAAACAACATCTTCTCATAAAATTTTTGAGGTAGCCTAGGCTCTATATAAACTTTTCCCTTTCAATAAAGACTATCTTTTTTTTTCTCAATATTATATCTACATTCATTTCTCTCTTCTTAAAAATTTGGTAATTGAGTTGTCTCCTACAATTTCTCACACCTAGGCCACTGTGTTTACCTATGTTATTACCTTTTTTAATGAGATAAAGGATGAAAATATCTATTCGTGTACATATGCTTCCTAAATTCATACAAAATTATTAAATTTACCTCTACGTGGGTATAGTCACATGATCCTAACAAAATTATATGAAAGAGATTTTTAGATAGAGTAATATGCAAATAACCATAATTATAAGAATGACGTTTCATAATGGAAACAGTTTATATAAGATTACAACCTTAAAATGTAGAATTAAAGAGGCACCTAAAAAATCCTTTGAAAAAGTTGTTTTAATGTTGAAAAATCCTCTAATCGATCATCTTGACATCAAGAAATATGAATAAAAAAAAAAAAAGATTTTGCAACTCATTATCTGGACTGTCCATTTTCAAGATTTTTATATGTTTATAGATCTACTTGATTTTAACTATTTTGGAGTTTAAAATTTTATAATTAGATATAAATATAAATTTAAAAATAATCTAAAAAAAGTTTAATACCAAAATCATGTATTATAATAAAATTAGGAGGTATGCCTTAATTGGATTGTTTAAAGTTAGAATCTTATAGAAACCACACCCTTTAGGGAATCTTGTTTACTCTTTTACATGGGTGCAGTTTCCATAAGGTTGCAACTTTAAACAATCCAACTAAGGTGTGTACCTTCAAATTTTATCATAATATATAATTTTGATGTAAAATGTTTTTAAGATTACTTCTAAATCTATTTTTATATCGAATTATAAATTTTAAATTCCAAAAATGATTAAAAATCAATTAGATCTATAAACATATAAAAATCTTAAAAATGGACATTGTAGATAATATGTTGTAAGATGCACTATTTCTGAGACTCAAAATATTTTTATTTTTCATAGCCATACATCTCGATGTTGAGATGATCAATCATAGGGTTTTTCAACATCAAAATAACCTTTTCCGATGGATTTTTGAGGTGCATCCATAGTTATACATTTTAAGGTTGCAACCTTATATAAACATTTTCCCTTTACACATAGGGCCATTTGAAAAGTACCAGCCCTATAATTTCTCTAGAGATAGAGTTCTTTTTTTTTATTCATGCGATGTTTGTCCACCCTTAATTCGGGATTAATAATACATGGTTGCAGTTTGCATACGGATGCATCCGTAGGTGTAGTGGTAAGGTGCACCTTCAAATTTTATTATGATATATAATTTTGTTGTAAAATGTTTTTAGGATTATCTCATAATCTATTTTTATATCTAATTATAAAATTTTAAATTTAAAAATGATTAAAATCAAGAAGATCTATAAACATATGAAAATCTAAAAAATGGATGGTGTAGATAATATGTTGTAAAATGCACTATTTATGAGACTTAAAATCTTTTTATTTTTCATAGTTCTACATCTCGATGTCTAGATGATCAATCAAATAGTTTTTCAACATTAAAAGTACCTTTTCCGATAGATTTTTGAGAGACATTTCTAGTTTTACATGTAGCATCTTTATATAAACTTTTTCTTTTTGGGTGTACCTTCAAAAAGTGTGGAAAAACGTAGTTTCAATACTTAAGAAATTTTTTTGACAGTTTTAAAATATATTTTAATTTTTATTTATAAAGTCTATATTTTCGTAGATCAAGAGATTTATAAAAACTTAAAAATTGAAGGATAAAAAATGCGTTACAAAATAACTATATTAAAAAATTGTAATATACTCCTTTGTCGTGTTCGAGATCACAATTTGAGGATATTTGGGCATCACATAAAATTTTTGAGGTAGGCTATAATTTGATTCTTTAGAACCTCAGCTTTATATAAACTTTTCTCTTTTCCATAATAAATTGATTCCTTTTCCTCTCTCTCTACGCCTTTCTCTCTCTGCATCCAGGCCTTGGAATCGGGTGAGTTCAATTTCTTGCCCCTCTTTGGTTGACTCGTTTTGTTAGGTATGTATCTTTGGATTCATTTGAGTAATTCTCTATCTCTTCTTCACTTGCGCCTGGGATTTGGACTTTGTTTCTTGCTGTTCTGAGTTCCAGGGTTTGATTCTTGGAGTGTAATTAGGGTTTATTTTCATGTGGGTTTTAATCCACGAATAACTTAGTTGCCTGCTATGGTTTCTCATGAATTTCATTTCGTAGTTAATTTATTTGTAAATGGTAAAAGAAATTTTCTCTTGTATCTCTGGGTTTTGTAGTTTAAGATTTGATGGGTGGGATCAGAGATGAGAGATTAGAGAGGCATGACAAGGAAGAAAGGGAACTGGGGCGCGACAAAGGTGATCGCTCTAGGGAAGCGAGAGAGAAAAAGATTCAGCATGTTCGCAATAGAGGCTCGGATTCTGATGGCGAGCATGCTTCGCTAAGGAGGTCCGCTAAAGATGAAAGCCACAGGCATGAATCACGTCGGAAGGCCACAAGAAGACATCACCATGGGGAATCTGATGAGGATAGAAACATAAGGAAATTAGAATCAGAAGCCTCAGATAGGAAAATTGAGAGAGAAATGGGAGAGATAAGGGAGCGTGACAGCAAGAGAAAACATGATGATAGACACCATGATAGAATACAATCTCATGAAGAAGAGGACGATGATGAAAGAAGTAGGGAGAGAAAACGTGATAATGGACACCACGATAGAAGACGATCTTATGAAGAGGAGGATGATGATGAAAGAAGTAGGGAGAGAAACAGTCGTCAAAAAATGCGTAATGAGGATTCTAGGAAGAGGGAACATTATGATAGGGGACACCATTCTAAAGGTGGAGCTGTGAAGGAAGAAGCTCAACGAGAGAGACACAATAGAATCAGGAAAGGAGACTTAGAAGATGGAAAGAAATTAGAGAATTTGCAAATTAATAGGAAAACCACAACCACTGAAACAAATACTGGGAGAAGTGGTGGGGTTTATATCCCTCCATTTAAGTTGGCTCAAATGATGAAAGAAGTTCAAGACAAAAGTAGTATTGAGTATCAAAGATTAACATGGGATGCTCTCAGGAAGAGCATAAATGGGCTCGTCAATAAAGTAAATGCATCTAACATAAAGAATATCATTCCTGAGCTCTTTAGCGAGAACCTTCTTCGGGGTCGAGGGTTATTTTGCAGATCATGCATGAAGTCCCAAATGGCATCTCCTGGTTTCACGGATGTCTTTGCTGCATTGGTTGCTGTTGTAAATACAAAGTTTCCTGAAGTTGGGAACCTTCTTTTGAGGAGAATAGTGCTTCAGCTCAAGCGGTCATATAAGAGAAATGACAAGGTAAAATTTCAAAGCAGACAATTCACCAATTACCTTTTAACGAATGCCAATGGCTGCTCATTTACCAACCTGAAATTGTTACTGGTTTTCTTTTTTCCTTGTAGCCGCTTTTGCTTGCCACTACAAAATTTATAGCCCATCTTGTGAACCAGCAAGTTGCTCATGAGATTATTGCTTTGGAGCTTCTTACCGTGTTGTTAGAGAATCCTACTGATGACAGTGTAGAGGTACAATGCCATTCTCATGATTTACTGATCTCATGTTTTCTTTGTTTGAAGTTTGAACTAGTTAATAACAGCTCATTAAATGATGATATGATTTTTTTTTGTTCATTTGTACAGGTAGCAGTTTGCTTTGTAAAGGAGTGTGGGTCCTTGCTACAAGACCTTTCTTCTCAGGGACTTCATGGTGAGAATCTTTTTATGGTTTTATTGAATTATTATGTTATTGGTTCTTCGACTAAAAATCATTAGCTATAGAAAAGTTATTTATTGGCGTTTGTAAGATTATGTTCGCAATTGCATTTAGTTATGAGTTCTTCCTTACTTTGATATGGGTGGTGACGAATGCTGTTATCGTTGTTACTATCGTTATGCCAAATCTTACTTTTTTCTGAAATTATATGCCAAATGTTACTTGTGAAGAACATGTTGATTATCTGCAGGCTAATAGAGATTATGACAGGATGCTCCTTCTTGAAACTCCAAAACAAGCTGAGTGTTTGTCCCTGGTACATCTAATGCCCACCATCCTGAGACAAGTGTTGGGACCACATTAGGGAATGGATTTATGTGTGCTTCCTTCCTTTGCGTTGCCATAGGGTGTTCAGATTACATGCATTCCAACATCATCCTTGTCATTATTGCTGACATTATTATTGATTTTATTTTTTCATAGTTCAATGGGACAAAAGGTGACAAGTTAACATTTCCTTCAAAAAAAAAAAAGAGGGACAATAGGTGACATCAGTTTCTACGGAACTGACCTAGGGACATGACTGCAAAGCAGATTTGAAATCAAAAGAATATAACTGTAGAAGGTAAATAGGAATCTTAAAAGAGAAAAAAGCCATGTTATTTTAGCAATGTTTTCACTGGCTGAGTAATTTGCCCTTGGCCTAGGTGGTCAGGAGCCACAACATGAAGTTAACAGTTCCATTCCATTCCTACCTTGTTAACATGTCCCACCGTGTAGCGGGTCCCCACCACCACCCCTGCCCTTCTGCCCTTACACCCCTATCCTACCCCTCACCTCCTCCAACCGTACATGTTCCAACCCCCCCTCCCCCCTGTTATGACCACTACCTTCACCTCATCCGTCCCCAACCCTCCACCCATCCTAGCCTACCCCTCCCCAACCTTCCCTCTCCCCAAGCCTCCCTACCTAGCTCTTCTCAACACGCTTCCAAACATTTCTCCTCTTAGTTTGCCCCTTACTCCCCCTCTATTGGGGGCAAGCACTCCTCTTATGTTGCCCACCCCCTCAAGTTCTCTTTGGTGGGTCGCTTCATCCGACAGTGAGACGACATCAACGATGTACGTTCTTGAGCTGTCGACCTCTGGGATGAACCCGAGCTCTCTTGTTGCAAGCTCTCCAGCGGCGAATTCCTCCCATCCTTCCCTAATGAAGTTGGGCTTTGCAAAGCACGTATTTGGCCCACACCCTCCTTCAAAGGAGTGCCCTATCTTTCAAACCTTGGAACAATTTGGCCCACAGTCTCCCACATCCCCCCTGCAAGCATGGCGTGTCGAGACCTTCGCTCGAAATGGTAAAGCGCTCAGAATGGTGAATCTTGTGGCTCCTTCATCTCTTTCTTTGAAAATCCTCAGCCCGCCTGCACTTAGGCACTATCAGACTCTTGGTGGAAACTCTCAACCCTGCCCTCATCCCCATGTCCTCTAGCTATAGATTGACGGGTTGTTCTTTCGGACCAAGCTCTCTTGGTCTCGGCCGTCCCTGTTTTTCGACCCTCAAGTCCAGGACCTTCATCTAGGTCCATGGCTTTGGAGCATCGTCCCCGTCACTCGTAGTCCAAAATTGCTGGACTATCATGGTTCACAAACGTCGTTTCAAGAAACATCCCCATCGATCTAGTCATCATATGGCTCCAAATGCACCTTTGGATCACCCAATAGGGGCTTCACATCCTACCCCCACTCTTGGTCACGTGCCTGCTCCGTCGCCCACCTTGCCACTGATGCACCACATGCCCGCCGCCTCGCAATTCCCTTGCTTGCTGACACCTGTCCCAAAATTTTCCACCCCTCCATCTATCTTCGCTCTGGACAAACCTCCCAATCGATCTCATGTGACTCACTCTCTCTCCTCCCATCTCTCCCTCAACTTTAACCCTTCAATCTCAGGCCCTCCCTCTTCATCTAACGACCATCTTTCTCTTCCCCTCAGTCGTACCCTCTCATGCCATGTTTTTGACCCCACTCCTCACTCCCATTCTCCAATTCCTAGGTCGACCATTTTCCCTCTTTCAAGTCATGTCCACTGCCACCCATCTTTGCCACCTTGTCACGTGCCACCTCCCCATCCTATCTCCGCATCCTTTTACCCATCATTCACATCATCCATCTTGCCTTCCCCGGTTGCTTCGCTGCACAACCCCCTTCCACTTCTGGCAAGCGGCGCCCCTTCCCTCTCTACAACACCATCACTGGAGTTTGACCAAATGCCACAGGAGCACTTTGTCGAAGGTCGCCTCCCCAACCGGTGGGTGAAGTGCAACCCATATATTGCCTATAGGTCGCCTCCCCAACCAGTAGGTACAGTGCAACCCGGAGATTGCCTCTAATCCCACCCTCTATCCCCTATGGCACTCAACCATCACGACCTCGGGCCCAAAGCTCCTCTAATCTCACAAGGCACCCGTTAACCCCTTTGGCGCTCATCACCACCTCGGGCTCGAAGCTCCCCCCTCCCCCCCCAAACCTCCGAGCTTTCCTCGCTCTGTGCTCTCCGTCACAAGCATGGACTCTCGCGAGACTCCACTGCCACCCCCATCTGGGCCACCAGAGTTCGCGGCCATCCCCTCTAATGCCTTTCGGTCCCTCTCTCTTTCTTGGTCACTAGCACAGAGTTTTCCTCCTCTATCCCACTATCCAAGCCCCTACCGTCACCTCTCCACCTCTGGCCCTTCCATCCTCATCTTCCCCAACATCTTCCCCATCCCTTTCCTCCGCTCCTTTTCTTCCTTCTTAGCCCTCTTTTGCCACCCCCCAGCTTCTCCCATCATTTCCATCCCATCCCCTTTTCTCCCCCTTGGGTCTTTCCCACTTCCCCCTTCGCCTCTGTCTCTATCATGGGCACCCATGTCTACATCCCCCTCTCATGGCCCCCATCTTACCCCTCTTGGTTGTACCTCCTTTATAGCATCCAAAGGAGTCGGGCATCGAAGCCAATAGGGGGCAGGGGCATTGGTCGCGGGAGCGGAGCAATGAGAGGTATAGACGGCAGAGCATCGGAGGAAGAAGCGATAGTAGCAGGACGGTTAAGTTCATCCATCAGCTTAAGCAGTTCCGGTCCCAGTTATTGATTCAGAAGTTATAGATATAGATCGAAATGCAGTTCCACGACAGCAGTAGCACCAGCAGTTGACCCGGTTCCCATAAACTCATTTGACCTAGTGTCATATCCAGTTGACCAAGTCGAACTATCCGCAGCGGAGGGAGCAACGAGAGCACCGCCGACAAAAGCAAAGCACCAGCGGCAAAGGTAGC